AGGCCATCTACATTTATGTGTCTGTACGGAGGCCATCTACATTTATGTGTCTGTACGGAGGCCATCTACATTTATGTGTCTGTACGGAGGCCATCTACATTTATGTCTGTACGGAGGCCATCTACATTTATGTGTCTGTACGGAGGCCATCTACATTTATGTGTCTGTACGGAGGCCATCTACATTTTATACGTCTGTACGAAGGCCATCTACATTTATGTGTCTGTATGGAGGCCATCTACATTTATACGTCTGTACGGAGGCCATCTACATTTATACGTCTGTACGGAGGCCATCTACATTTATACGTCTGTACGGAGGCCATCTACATTTATACGTCTGTACGGAGGCCATCTACATTTATATACGTCTGTACGGAGGCCATCTACATTTATGTGTCTGTACGGAGGCCATCTACATTTTTTATACGTCTGTACGGAGGCCATCTACATTTATACGTCTGTACGGAGGCCATCTACATTTATGTGTCTGTACGGAGGCCATCTACATTTATGTGTCTGTACGGAGGCCATCTACATTTATACGTCTGTACGGAGGCCATCTACATTTATACGTCTGTACGGAGGCCATCTACATTTATACGTCTGTACGGAGGCCATCTACATTTATGTGTCTGTACGGAGGCCATCTACATTTATGTGTCTGTACGGAGGCCATCTACATTTATGTGTCTGTACGGAGGCCATCTACATTTATGTGTCTGTATGGAGGCCATGTACATTTATGTGTCTGTATGGAGGCCATGTACATTTATACGTCTGTACGGAGGCCATCTACATTTATATGTCTGTACGGAGGCCATCTATCTGCCAGAGGCGGGGGGGGGGGGGGGGGTGGAGATCCCGGAGATCTCGGTCTGACTCAGCACTTCATAGCGGATTGCAGTAAACGGCGAAGCGTTTTATTTCCCGCACTGAACATTCACTCTTTTTTTCCTTACTAAACGGCGGGCATTTGATGGGCTGTCGGACACGCAGACGTCTCAGTTAAAGGAGGAAGAATTGGAGTAAAAATCAGCCTTGCGATTCCCTGCAGGAGAAGGCGGACAGGAAATCGTATTTCCTGCACTGACTGTAGAGGGGAAGTGGGAGTGCCGGGGGAGGGGGGGGGGGGGGGACACAAACAATCCTTTACAGAATATGGAAAATGTAAATGTTTCTGCAAATGTGATAGAAAATGAAAATGTAGGAAAATGGTTACATGGGAAGAATAGGCGATGCGGGAGCTGAGACCCTGCATGGGTTCACACACTATGGGGGGAATTGATGAAACCTGGAGCAGGCAGAATCCGGGGCAGCTGTGGATGGCGATCAATCAGCTCTTCGCTGTCATTGTGAAAGCTTAGCTGACCGAGCTGAATAGAGAACACTGATTGGTTGTCTGGCACAGCTGCTCCAGATTCCGTCTGCTGCGGTTTTCAGAGATTCCCTCTTATATAAACTGAGACATTGCTGGTGTTGCTGCATGGGCTGGTGTGCTGCATGGGCTTGTGTACTACATGGGATGAGACAACATAGGATGGGGGTTTACATGGACTGAGATACTTCATGGGTTGGTATACTACATGGGATGAGACAACATAGGATGGGGTTTACATGGACTGAGATACTTCATGGGTTGGTATACTACATGGGATGAGACAACATAGGATGGGGGTTTACATGGACTCAGATACTTCATGGGTTGGTATACTACATGGGATGAGACAACATAGGATTGGGGTTTACATGGACTCAGATACTTCATGGGTTGGTGTACTACATGGGATGAGACAACATAGGATGGGGGTTTACATGGACTGAGATACTTCATGGGTTGGTATACTACATGGGATGAGACAACATAGGATGGGGGTTTACATGGACTGAGATACTTCATGGGTTGGTATACTACATGGGATGAGACAACATAGGATGGGGGTTTACATGGACTGAGATACTTCATGGGTTGGTGTACTACATGGGATGAGACAACATAGGATGGGGGTTTACATGGACTGAGATACTTCATGGGTTGGTATACTACATGGGATGAGACAACATAGGATGGGGGTTTACATGGACTGAGATACTCCATGGACTGGTGTACTACATGGGATGAGACAACATAGGCTGGGGGTTTACATGGACTGAGATACTCCATGGGCTGGGACACCATATAGGCTGGGACTTTACATGGTCTTAAATACTACATGAGCTAATGTACTCCATGGACTAAGACACCACATAAGCTGGGACCTTACATTGGCAAGGACACTACATGAACTGGGACACCACATAGGTTGGGACTTCACATGGTCTGAGATACTACATGGGCTGGGACGCTGTATGTGCTGGGACACTACATAGGTTGGGACTTCACATGGTCTGAGATACTACATGGGCTGGGACGCTGTATGGGCTGGGACACTACATGAACTGGGACACCACATAGGTTGGGACTTCACATGGTCTGAGATACTACATGGGCTGGGACGCTGTATGGGCTGGGATGCTGTATGTGCTGGGACACTACATAGGTTGGGACTTCACATGGTCTGAGATACTACATGGGCTGGGACGCTGTATGTGCTGGGACACTACATAGGTTGGGACTTCACATGGTCTGAGATACTACATGGGCTGGGACGCTGTATGGGCTGGGATGCTGTATGTGCTGGGACACTACATAGGTTGGGACTTCACATGGTCTGAGATACTACATGGGCTGGGACGCTGTATGGGCTGGGATGCTGTATGTGCTGGGACACTACATAGGTTGGGACTTCACATGGTCTGAGATACTACATGGGCTGGGACGCTGTATGGGCTGGGATGCTGTATGTGCTGGGACACTACATAGGTTGGGACTTCACATGGTCTGAGATACTACATGGGCTGGGACGCTGTATGTGCTGGGACACTACATAGGTTGGGACTTCACATGGTCTGAGATACTACATGGGCTGGGACGCTGTATGGGTTGATACATTACTTGAGCAAGTACACTGCATGGGCTGATATACTCTGTGGACAGACACCACAGAGGATGGGACTTTACATGGGCTGGGACACTGCTTGAGCTGATGCATTACATGGGCAAGGACACTCCATGAACTGGGACACCACAGAGGATGGGACTTTACATGGGCTGGAACACCGCTCAAGCTGATGCATTACATGGGCAAGGACACTACATGAACTGGGACACCACACAGGCTGGGACTTCACATGGTCTGAAATATTACATGGGCTGGGACACTGCTTGAGCTGATGCATTACATGGGCAAGGACACTACATGGGTTGATGTTCAGCATGGACTAAGATGCCACATAGGCTGGGACCTTACATTTGCTGAGACATCGCATGCGCATGCAGGAGCAATCAGAGCTCCAGGACTTCTACAACAGTACCATCCTTGCATGCATAGGAAAAACCTGTGAAAAAGCCCATGTGTGCACGGATGTTCTGAAAGCTGTCACACGATCTGGAAGGCCTTCCTGCCCCCACCCCCGACACCCCACCCCTGGGGTATAATAATTCCCCGCCCCTGGGGAAACCAAAACTGGGTGGGAAGGGGGAATTGTGGGGGAGGCAGGGGGCTGTAACCGGGTGAAATCAATTTGTTTTTCGGGGTGAAGGTCTACTTTAGGAAGTTGGGCATCCACCATGAATGCTGTAGGGCAGGGGTGGGCAACTGTGGCCCTCCAGCTGTTGGTGAACTACAAGTCCCATCATGCCTCTGCCTTTGGGAGTCATGCTTGTAACTGTCAGTGTTGCAATGCCTCATGGGACTTGTAGTTCTACAACAGCTGGAGGGCCACAGTTGCCCGCCCCTGCTGTGGGGGAAAAGAATGCTTCCCGGGTATTTAAAACTCCACACATTAATTATTGGGCTGAAAATGACCATCTGCCTAATTATTTGTTGTATTTTTGTAAACTCCGAGCAACCTCATTTACATAAAACATCTTTGTGGGGGTTCCGGGGTTCTATTTCACATGATATCAATACTTAGAATATTCCGTGGCCTTGCCTGACCCTATGAATGGTCCCTAGCCGGCCGTCTCTCCGCTTTGCTCAGGAAATAGCCGGCTGGGTTCTGTATTTTTGTCTTCATTGCATTTTCCTGGCGATTTTTTTATTTTGTTGTCCTTGCTCTGGGTGGTTGCCATAGTAACTCTTTTGATTGACAACCTATAAAAGGATGTGATTGAAGATAAGGGACTTCAAGGGAGACATTTTGATTCATTTTTCTGTATAAAGTGCTTTCAGTAATATTCATGGCCAGGCTGATGTGTTCACTTTTCAGAAACCTCCATTCACTGCTACAACATTTTCAGCTCGTATTATTCTGTTCTGTTTTCCTGCATGCTGGTGGGCAGGCGAAACTTTCAGAGCGGTTCAGCCTCTTTGTTCCTAAAACTTGGCAGCCAAGTGTGACCTCTCTGCTGTCTATCACACGCCAGTCATTGTGAGCAGGACTGACTGCCATGAGTTCAGCTGCCCTGGGTCGTTCGGTCCAGCAGGGGGTTCTGCCGAGGTCCGATGCTGAACCTCAATCCCGTTGACATCAAAAGTCGGATCTGTGAAATTAAAAATGCCAATATTCTGGGTGAACAGGCAAGGGGGTGCCTGACAATAGCATGGGGGCTGGGCACTGCCCAGGGGAACTTGGACCAATGCAAAAAAAAACAAAAATCCTTTTGACAAGATGCAGAGATTTGTTTCTTCTGTTAGCGCTCCTTTAGTCGTTGTTTTGTGCTCGAGTCTCATTGGTCGGATGACTTGTTGGAGTCGCTCATACTGTACATATCCCCTGGAACCTCCTTGTGTTCGGTATTTGCACCTTTTTTGTGATTTTTTTTTTTTTAAATGCTGAAAGTGAAACCATAAAATCACTCAATTCTTTAGTAACATGTCTAGGGGTTGTCCTGATCCGGGGGGGTTTCCTGATCCTGGGGGTGTCCTAATCCTGGGGGTGTCCTGGTTCCTGGGGGTGTCCTAATCCTGGGGGTATCCTAATCCTGGGGGATGTCCTAGTCCTAGGGTTATCCTAATCCTAATACACTATATTGCCAAAAGTATTGGACCCGACCTCCAAATCATGTGATTCAGGTGTTCCAATCCCCTCAATATCATGTGATTCAGGTGTTCCAATCCCCTCAATATCATGTGATTCAGGTGTTCCAATCCCCTCAATATCATGTGATTCAGGTGTTCCAATCCCCTCCATATCTTGTGATTACGGTGTTCCAATCCCCTCAATATCATGTGATTCAGGTGTTCCAATCCCCTCCCTATCATGTGATTCAGGTGTTCCAATCCCCTCCAAATCATGTGATTCAGGTGTTCCAATCCCCTCCAAATCATGTGATTCAGGTGTTCCAATCCCCTCCCTATCATGTGATTCAGGTGTTCCAATCCCCTCCAAATCATGTGATTCAGGTGCTCCAATCCCCTCCCAATCATGTGATTCAGGTGTTCCAATCCCCACCATATCATGTGATTCAGGTGTTCCAATCCCCTCCATATCTTGTGATTTACGGTGTTCCAATCCCCTCAATATCATGTGATTACGGTGTTCCAATCCCCTCAATATCATGTGATTCAGGTGTTCCAAACCCCTCCCTATCATGTGATTCAGGTGTTCCAATCCCCTCCAAATCATGTGATTCAGGTGTTCCAATCCCCTCCAAATCATGTGATTCAGGTGTTTCAATCCCCTCCAAATCATGTGATTCAGGTGTTCAAATCCCCACCATATCATGTGATTCCGATGCTCCAATCCCCTCCAATCATGTGATTCAGGTGTGCTCCAATCCCCTCCATATCATGCGATTCCAGTGTTCCAATCCCCTCCATATCATGTGATTCAGGTGCTCCAATCCCCTCCATATCATGTGATTCAGGTGTTCCAATCCCCTCCATATCATGTGATTCAGGTGCTCCAATCCCCTCCCAATCATGTGGTTCCGATGTTCCAATTCCTTCCATATCATGTGATTCAGGTGCTCCAATCCCCTCCATATCATGCGATTCCAGTGTTCCAATCCCCTCCATATCATGTGATTCAGGTGCTCCAATCCCCTCCCAATCATGTGATTCAGGTGTTCCAATCCCCTCCCAATCATGTGATTCAGGTGTTCCAATCCCCTCCATATCATGTGATTCAGGTGTTCCAATCCCCTCCATATCATGTGATTCAGGTGTTACAGTCCCCTCCATGGACACAGGTGTACACAATCAAGCCCCTAGACATGCAGACGGCTTCTACAAACATTGGTGAAAGAATGGGTCGCTCTCAGGAGCTCAGTGACTCCAAGCGTGGTCCCGTGATAGGTGGCCACCTGGGCAATAAGTCCATCCATGACATTTCCTGGCTACTAAATATTCCACCAACTGTTAGTGGGATTATAACAAAGTGGATGCAACTGGGAACAACAGCCACTCAGCCACCAAGTGGTAGGCCACGTCACATGACAGGGCTGGGTCAGCGCATGCTGAAGCGCACAGTGCGCAGAAGTCGCCAACTGTCTGCAGAGTCAATAGCTAAAGACCTCCAAACTTGGTGTGGCTTTCAGATGAGCCCAACAACAGTGCGTAGAGAGCTTCATGGAATGGGTTTCCATGGCCGAGCAGCTGCATCCAAGCCTTCCATCACCAAGTGCAATGCAAAGCGGCGGATGCCGTGGTGTAAAGCACGCCGCCACTGGACTTTAGAGCAGAGGAGGCGTGTTCTCTGGAGTGACCAATCTCGCTTCTCTGTCTAACAATCCGATGGACTTGTCTGGGTTTAGTGGTGGCCAGGAGAACGGTACTTGCCTGACTGCATTGTGCCAAGTGTAAAGTTTGGCGGAGGGGGGATTATGGTGTGGGGGTGTTCCTCAGGAGTTGGCTTGGCCCCCTAGTTCCAGTGAAGGGAACTCTGGTGATATTTTGGACACTTTCATGCTCCCAACTTTGTGGGAAGAGTTTGGGGATGGCCCCGTCCTTTTCCAACATGACTGCGCACCAAAAGGAATAAAGCCGTCTTTCAAATTTCAAAAAGGATAGAACAAAACAGAATAGAATAGAAAATAAAGGAAAAGAAAAGAATAGAATTAAAACAATTGAATAGATTCAAATAGAATAGAATAGAAAGAATATTTGAAATTTGAATTTTGAATGGAATAGAATCATCTATTCTTCACAATGAATTCGGATCGATTCAATATTTCTATTCAAATTCGATTAGCATACTTCAAATTAATTGGGAAACTTTGAATCCGGTTGAAAATGAATAAATTAAACAAAGCTAATTTCGCTGCAAATGTGACAAAACTAAATTTGTAACTTAATGAATCGATCCGACCTTTTAAGGGGGTAATTCGTTGGCAATCACTGCTTAGGCTTGGATGGGATACGTTATGGTGGCGTAATGCCTACCGAAGGTGATCTGCTGTCCGATTTCTGCCGCGGCCATGAAACACGACATGTATACACTAGGGATGGGCTAGATGTTCGAGTCGAACGTTGCCCGCAGACCCCCGCAACCACCAGGCCAGGATTGTGGGGAAGATACCCTTGTCCCCATTGGCATGGTATGCTACGGGGGGCACGCACTTGTCCCCCCCCTCTTTCCTGCCCTGCCAGGCCTGTGCTCAGATCAAGGGCCTGGGAGGAATTTAGGGGGGAACCCATGCTTTCCCCTCCCATTTTTGGGGTGGGGTTCCCCTTAAAAGTCCTACCAGGCCTAAAGGGCCTGGTATAGCTTTTAGGGGGAACCCCACGTACTTTTTAATTTTTTTTTTTACTGTGGGGTCCCTCCTACCCTTCCTACCAGAACTAAAGCGTCTGGTATGGATTGGGGGGGACCCCATACTGTTGTTGTTTTTTTTTTAAAAGCGTACATTTTTAAAACTTCTTTATACACGGCTCCAAAAAAATGAAAGGAAGACTTTGTAATCAGAGTCACATCAAGTCCATGAATCTCCTGGGATATGGATCTGGTCAGGTAAGTCGCAGAGGGGGTTGTTCATCAGTTTCAGCTGCTTTGGTGGTAATGAAATTAACAACAGGTGCACTAGATGGGCAATAATGAGACGACCCCCAAAACAGTAATGGCTTTACAGGTGGAGGCCACTGACATTCTCTCCCTACTCATCTTTTCTGACTGTTTTTCACTAGTTTTGCATTTGGTTCGGGTCAGTGTCACTACTGGTAGCATGAGGCCATACCTGGACCCTACAGGGGCAGCACAGGCAGTCCAACTCCTCCAGGATGGCACATCAATACGTACCATTGCCAGAAGGTTTGCTGTGTCTCCCAGCACAGTCTCAGGAGCATGGAGGAGATTCCAGGAGACAAGAGCACGGAGGAGATTCCAGGAGACAGGCAGTTCCTCTAGGAGGGCTGGACAGGGCCGTAGAAGGTCCTTAACCCATCAGCAGGACCGGTATCTGCTCCTTTGTACAAGGAGGAACAGGATGAACCCTGCCAGAGCCCTACAAAATGACCTCCAGCAGGCCACCAGTGTGAATGTCTCTGACCAAACAATCAGAAACAGACTTCATAAGGGTGGCCTGAGGGCCCGATGTCCTCTAGTGGGCCCTGTTCTCACTGCCCGGCACCATAGAGCTGGGTTGGCATTTGCCATTGAACACCAGAATTGGCCGGTCCACCACTGGCACCCTGTGCTTTTCACAGATGAGAGCAGGTTCCCCCTGAGCACATGTGACAGACGTGAAAGGGTCTGGAGAACATTCTGCTGCCTGTAACATGGTTCAGCATGACCGTTTTGGTGACGGGTCAGTGATGGTCTGGGGAGGTATATCCATGGAGGGACGCTCGTGCAGTGGGTCCTGGGTTCCTCCTGGTGCAGTGGGTCCTTGGCTCCTCCTGGTGCAGTGGGTCCTGGGTTCCTCCTGGTGCAGTGGGTCCTGGGTTCCTCCTGGTGCAGTGGGTCCTGGGTTCCTCTTGGTGCAGTGGGTCCTGGGCTCCTCCTGGTGCAGTGGGTCCTGGGTTCCTCCTGGTGTAGTGGGTCCTGGGTTCCTCCTGGTGCAGGGGGTCCTGGGTTCCTCCTGGTGCAGGGGGTCCTGGGTTCCTCCTGGTGCAGTGGGTCCTGGGTTCCTCCTGGTGTGATGGGTCCTGGGTTCCTCCTGGTGTAGTGGATCCTGGGTTCCTCTTGGTGCGGTGGGTCCTGGGTTCATCCTGGTGCAGTGGGTCCTGGGTTCCTCCTGGTGCAGGGGGTCCTGGTTCACAACAATGCCCGCCTCATGTGGGGAGAGTATGCAGGCAGTTCCTGGAGGATGAAGGAATTGATACCATTGAATGGCCCCCACGCTCACCTGACCTAAATCCAATAGAACACCTCTGGGATGTCATGTTTCGGTCCATCCGACGCCTCCAGGTTGCACCTCAGACTGTCCAGGAGCTCAGTGATGTCCTGGTCCAGATCTGGGAGGAAATCCCCCAGGACACCATCCGTGGTCTCATTAGGACCCTTCCCTGACATTGTCAGGCATTCATACAAGCACGTGGGGGCCACACAGACTACTGAGGACCATTCTGAGTTGCTGCAATGACATTTCACCAAAATGGACTCGCCTGCTGCATCATTCCTTCACTTTGATTTTCGGGGTGTCTTTGAATTCAGTCCTCTGTAGGTCGATCATTCTCATTTCCATCAAACGATGGGGCGTCCTTACGTTCCTCACCCATCCCCCATCCATGTCAGTATAGAGATCCAGCAGGAGATTCCTCCCCATTCAAATCTGATGGGTTCTCAGAGTCTTTCTCTCATTGGTGGAGCCATGTATATGTATTGTACAGATGTGCAACTTTGCAGGTAGTTTCGGGGACCCCCAGACATGATATTTAAAGGAATTTTTCGTTTTCATTTTTTGTTCACTTTAAGCAATAAAAAACGACCACCCCTTTAAAAACTGTACTTTTTGAAATGTATTTTTTCACTGATTCATGTCCCTCAGGGCGGTCCTCAAGTCCCCATACCCTTTTTATGGCCAATAACTTGCATAGAAGCCTTCAAAATGGGCACTTTTGAATGTACAAGTTTGAGTCCCATAGACTCGCATTGAGTTCGAAGTTCATTAGGTTCGAACGTTCGACTGCAAACCAAACATGGGGAGGTGTTCGTCCCATCACTAGTGTACAGCCCTGAGCCACTGCATGTCAGTGTGAATACAGGTGGTAAAGCCACAGTTCAGCCATTTAGTATTACTGCCCCCTGGCTGCTTATATGAATGTGCTACTTACAGGCTGGAGGAGCCTGCGGGAGTGGAGGATCGGGGAACTAAAACTGCTTTGTGCTGTCCCCTTGACCTCAATGAGCGTTTAAACCTAGCAATGTGGATGTAGCCCCGCTGCCAGAGAGCCTTCTTTTACCCCCCCCCCCCCCCGGAATTAAGCTTTAGGTACGTATGACACTGAAATCTTGGATTTCTAAAAGAAAAGAACAGAATTAGGCAGGAGCTGCTCCTCGCGCCGCCTTGCTGGAGCACATTTCCACATTGCAGCCTGACACATAAACAAACATTTAGAAGTTCCACCAGGGGGGCCAGATGGAAGGGATGAAACTCATTTCCTAATCGCAATCTTTATTCCCTAAAAATCACTTCCACAAACAACTCGGAGTGTGCTGTACCCATAAAACATATGCTGCGCCCATACTGTCTCTCATTGGCAGTCATAGGGCAGGCAGCGGAATCTGAATCGGCACTGTAACCCCTTCGCTTGCGGCGTGACATTGCGGGACATTGCGGGACTCGGCCTTGTCCTGACGTTGTCCTATGATGACCACCGTGCATCCGGCTATGGGCCGAGAGTCATGAAGGGTGGCCCCCGCCGCATGCTGGAAGCTGAAATAGGAGATAGGACAGTGACGGGAACAATACAGAGAGGAGCTCCGGGGGCAACAAACTGATCCTATTTTCCAGTGTGAAAACCTGCATGATATATATACTTTATACACTTATATACTATATATTATACATCTCAAGGTCTTGTTTTGCACCATATGAATCATTTAACTCTGTAGTTACCTTGGCAATGAGCGCTCCTTTTGTCATCTTTTGTAGAGCCTTCTACAGTGTTTTGCACTCAATGTGCCAAGAGGGGTGAGACTAGAGGGGGAGGGGTAGAGTGGTTCTTCTTAGTATCACACAAGGAAAGGACGTCACTTAGGGATTT